AGTTGAAGTCCACCCATCTTCAAATTACCAAGGTTGAGAAACACTGATTTAGTCCCTTGAATGGAAGATGCAAAAGGAGCGAGATCCTCCTATCCATGATGCTATAGAAGCAAACATCCATCTTTTACAAAGGGCAGGAGTGAAATAAGGTCCTTTCCAACTCTACAATTTTAAATTCAGAACAGTGACTCACACAGCAGAGGACAGGCATCTTCATCTATAGCATTAGTGAATGGGGTCAAAATACACTTTCATTTTGACATTTAAATCATGCCAGTCTTCTACTGCATTTATTTATTACATTTACAGCCCATCTTTCTTCCAGAAATTCAAGGATGTGAGGGTGCCCCCGTAACATTTTATCCTCACAACAACCTTGAGAGATCAATTAAACTCAGGATCCGACTGACCCAAGGTTAGCCTGAGATGACACCTCTGCATATATATTATGCATACATCCTGTGCATGGTTTATTAGGGCTTTGAATGTGCACCTCTTCGTTCTTAGCCCAATACCCTAAACCAGTGTTTCTCAATTTACCCAGCATGCTGGCTGGGGAATTCTGGGAGTTGAAGTCCACACATCTTAAAGCTGCCAGGGTTGAGAAACACTGTTCTAAACCCAGCTCTTTAAAAGAAACAACCAATGCAGGAGGCAAGATGCAAGCAAATAGATATTTCTAGGAGAGATTTCCAAGCAATGGGTGCTAGAGTGACAAATTGATCTTGTCCAAGAACTAGCATCCATATTCTTAAAGCAGAACTAAGTTGAAAGTGGCATCTTCAAATTAAGCAATAATGTACTGAATCTTAGATTTGCTACTGCTAATGAACATAATAAGACGCACATTTGCCCTGAATGGCTGGCTCGTCAGCGGGAGCTACGCATGCTTTCAAAATGATTCAGAAGAGCTCTGGACTTCAAGTGAGCTATTGCTCTTCATTAAAGCAGACCAACTTCCTTGCAACCCTGAAACATGAAGTGTGCCTTTAGGAGTAGATTCCTTAAAGCAGTGTTGTCCAAACTTGGCCACTTTGAGTGGACTTCAACTCCCAGAATTCCCCAGCCAGCATTGCTGGGTTGGGGAATTTTGGGGTTTGAGTACACCCAAAATGGGCAAGATTTGAAAAAAAAGCTTTAAAGA